TGTTCTCTTCATTCTCCCTTGCTCCCGAAAGGATGAGACCAGTGGGGTATCTTAGATGGCTGCTCACAGGCTTTTAAGACACCAGACGCTACTCACCAAGGTAGAATGTAGAACATAGTCTTTATAAACTGTGTTATGCCAATTGAGCTGGATGTTCCCCGAGACCATTCACCATCTGTTTTTGTATTGCCTGAGTGAAGAATGGTTCTTACCTTTTTTTTATGGTTGGGGGAAAAAAAATCAAAAGAATATTTTGCGACATGAAAACTATATGAAATTCAAATTTCAGTTTCCATAAATAAAGTTTATTTATTTATTTATTTACTCCTGATAAGAGGTGGATTTTGTTTGGTGGTAGTAAGACCCCGATATTGGACTTGGGTATTGAACTTGGAATATTGTATCAACTGCCAAATCTCTAACCAGACATCCTTTAATGAATTGCTGTATTTTTAATTAATGCAAGACTTCTATCACTCAATGATTTCTATCACTCCAACTACTGTGCAAACTAAAACACTCTTATAAGGTATGTATTCACATTCTAACATGTAGTAACATAAGTAATGCATGAGAAGAGCTTAGCAGAGTGCATAAAATACATGTTCTATAAATTCAAGCTATTATTATTGTATTATAATACATTATGTACTGTGTTCTATAAACGTGAGCTATTATTATTGTACTATTATAAATTATATGTCTTCTGTTGATTTATTTTACAAACTGATCATGTTTGTATTCTCCACCCAGTACTAAGGTGAATGAACACAGAATATACTGTGTCAGAAAGGTGAGGCTTTTGCGTGAATGCTTTCCTCCAAAAGGGATATTGAAGGGCTTTTCCTCAGTGATTTTTTTTTTTAATTGACTAAGGTCTGAGCTTTGACTAAAAATTTTCTGACATTTATCAGTTTTTTATTTTTTCTCCACAGACCTTGCAAGCTGTTCAAAACCATCTCTCCGGTTTCAGATATGACTGTATCTTAAGAAATACTCTACTTTGTAGCAAGCACCTCATTTTCAATTCAAGCCATGTTTTCAAAATTGCTATGGAAAATTACAAGCATATATAAATGTAGAAAGACTATTATAATGAACCCCCATATGCCTCTCACCCAGCTTCAACAATTATCATCTTCGTGGCATTTTCTTTCTTTCTGAGGATTTTAAAACAAATCCCAGACATTGTATCAGTTCACCCACAAGTACTTCAGTATGAATTTCTAACAAATAAGGACTTTTTCTTAAAATAACTATACTATCATTATCACACTCAACAAAATTGAGAGAAATTCCTTAATATCATTATGTTCAAGTTTTCCGAGTCATCTCAAATACGTCTTACAGTTGTTTCTTCCAGTCAGTTTTTCCATTACATTTCATTGATATGTCTATTCAGTCTCTTTCAATCTAGGACAGTCCCCTTTCGCCCACTCTTTTTAAAAATGCCTTTATTGGTTGAAGAACCTGGGTCTTCTGTCCTGTCCTGTCTCACACTGTGGATTTGACCGAGTGCTGCTTTTCAGTAGCATTTAACTCATTAGTTCCCAAAATTAGCTGCATGTTGGAATTACCTGGGAAATTTTAAAAGTTATTGATGCCTAAATCCCACCTCCTGAAATTCTGATTTAATCTATCTTGGTTGTGGACAAGGTATCTAGATATTTTAAAAAGCTCCTCAGTGATTCTAATGTGCAGCAAAGTTTAAAAACTGCTCATTTAACTTGCTCCTGTATCTCTCCTTTACACTGGTATTTGGATCTAGAGACTTAATTATATTCATGCTCACTTTATTTTGCCAAAAATACTTCATGGGCCGTGCCCTGTCTAGCCTGTGTCAGCTAATAGAAAGTATTTTCTAGCGCTTTTCATTTGTGATGTCTAATGGGGCCTTTCCTTTTCCTAAGTTGTCTCCTTTACATGATCTTTATCTGCGTAAGGACAGATTGAAGAATAAAAACTCAGGAAGGTATCTACGTGATATTTTGTTCTCTCATTGTTTGCCAACCTTGCATTTTCTAGCCCCTCCATTCCACTAGGTAGAAAGGTATCTTACTGCCATCTCAACCCACTCAGATAACTTTACAGTCAATTCTGGTTTAAAATCTAGTCCCATCTGGTTCAAAGGAATCTCAGGGCTTCCTTTCCTTTGAGGGTGGGCCACCTTACCACAGGCCAGGCATTTTCTAAGCACTTAACACAAAAAATTCAATTAAGGCACGCAACATCTCTGTCTGTTATTACTATCCCACATATAGATGGGGAAAGGAGGCACAGAGAGGTTAAGTAACTTTCCAGGCTCATCCAGCTCAAAAAAACCAAACCCACTGCTGTCAAGTTGATTTTGACTCATAGTGACCCTGTAGGACAGAGTAGAACTGCCCCATAGGGTTTCCAAGGCTGTAATCTTTTCGAAAGCAGACAGTTGACCTTTCTGTTAGCAGCCAAGCACTGAAAACCACTGCACCACCAGGGCTTCTTGTCATCCAGCTAGTAAGTGGTAAAGCCAAGATTATGAACCCAGGTAGCCTGGCCTGAGAGTCTGTGCACATAACCACCATGCCAGACTGAGGAGCAGAGCTGGAAAGAAACAGAAAGGAGGAAAATAGAAGAGAATGGAGTCCCTGAAGCCAGGGATGAGAGAGTTTCTGGAAGTGGACAGCACCGTCAGCCTGGTTGAGAGGTGACCATGGGAAGTGGTAACCAAGGGGAGCATCTCACGTTACTTCTGCAAGAGAGTCTCAGTGGCATTGGTGGTAGTTTGCTGCCTGCAATGTGTTGAAGGATAAGTGGGAGGTGAGGACTAGAGTTGGGAACGAGAGGATTTTCCTTCAAGAAGTTTTGTCCTGAAGGGAAGGAAAGGGTGGCAGCTTGAGAGGGGCAAGAACCAGGGGCAGCCGCCACTCTCTTCAGGCAAGTGGCTGGTGCTGTTTCCTGTTTCTCTGATGTTTCTGAGACAGACTAACGTTCTCCTGCCCAGAGCTCAGAGGGCTCTGGGGAAAGAAGCCCGCTTTCCAGCTGAATTTTAGTGTCAGTTTTATACCATCTATTTGGATAAGCGTCACATGAGGGAGGATTGGGAGCCTCTCCAGCAGGTGCTCGGGGTTGAAAAGAGTCAGTCCTATTTTTTGTGATCCAGAGCCTGTCATCCTTTTTTCTCCCTCGCGTTAACTGCAGTCCCTGGACTGTAGGTAAGGACGTGTTTGCTAGAGGGTTAACTCGGAGAAAACCAACGAGAGGAGCCTCCTAGAGGGCCCAGGAAGTTGCATTGATTCCCACCAAAGCTTCCGTGCCCTAACCCCAACTTCTTTTCTACGCCTGGGGGATTTTCACTCGCACCCCCAGGACATCCTTTGCAGTACCTATTTCAGCGTAGGGTGCAGAGAAGGCCTTTGTAAAATCGCGAACTTTCAACAGAAATCTGTGCAGCTGTGCCCCGGGGTGCCACGGGCCCCTGGATACGCGAGAGGAGAGAGCTTGGAGTTTCACTAGTTAATAGCGATTTCCCACTGTTCAGGAATCTTCTCAGAAATACAGCTCCCAGCTAGAGTGAGGCCCAAGTACTGCCTTGGCCCAGGATGGCAAGAGAATCGAGGCAACGTGCAGCCCTGGACGCCCAGTCTACAGAGGACCAGACGGGGCTCCTGACCGTGAAGGTGGAGAAGGAGGAGGCCTCTGCCTTTGCGGAGGAGGCCCGTTTGTCCTGCAGCCCGGCACCAGGCCCAGAGCGCTCCCGCCAGCGCTTCCGGAGCTTCCGCTACCCAGAGGCTGCAGGGCCCCGCGAGGCGCTGAGCCGGCTCCAGGAGCTCTGCAGGCAATGGCTGCGGCCCGAGATGCACAGCAAGGAGCAGATCCTGGAGCTGCTGGTGCTGGAGCAGTTCCTGACCATCCTGCCCGGGGCGCTGCAGAGCTGGGTGCAGGAGCAGCATCCAGAGAGCGGGGAGGAGGCGGTGGTTCTGTTGGAGTATTTGGAGAGGCAGCTGGATGAGCCAAGGCCGCAGGTAGAGACAACTGGTTTAGTATCTCAGAGCTGTGGTTTCTTCCTAAAATTTCAAGATCGGAATGAGGGACATTCCTTCAGATCCAGGGGTTGTCAGTCTTTTTCTGTACCATGAACCTCTTTAGCAGTAAGGTTAAGTCCCTGGACCCGTTCTCAGAATAATATTTTTAAATGCATAAAGTAAAATATAAAGGACTACAAAGAAAATCAATTATGCTGAAATACAGGTAGCAAAATATTAAACAAATTTGTGATAAAGTTTTTTTTTAAATTAATGCAGTAAATAATAAGATATAGGGCAGGTATAATAATTGTGGCAATTTCAAGGTGGTGATAAGCATGTTGACTCAGAGGCTATTTGCCTGGTTGTCATGTAATATGAAAACATCTGCAATTTCTATTGGTGACAAAGTCAGAGGTACGACTCATACCACCTTGGTTTGTTGCTTGCATTCATAATTGAAAGAAAAGCTAAATTTCACTTAAAGATTAGTAAAATGGAAAAATATGTTTTTTCCTTTCCATGTCATGGACCACTTGGGAAGGAGTTCATGGCCCACTGGTTAAGAACTCCTGGTAGAAACGGTTCATTTTTACCTGCATCTTCCTGCCTGTTGTATGAGACTGTTTTCTCTTTGCATTTGTCTGTGTCCTTGTGTGCACCTTCCTTCAGGGGATGCGACCAGAGTAAAGCTTTCTAACCAGTAACCAGGAGCCCAAGGTTCTTGACTTGGATCTATTGCACCTGAGCTGTGTAACAGTAAAAAGTCATTCAAGTCTTTGAATTTCAGGCTCTTCATTCTTTAGAGGATGTGAGAAATTTTGTGTTGCACATGAGTTAATGATCATGAAAGTGACTTGAAAACTGTAATTTAACTATAAATATCCAGTAGGAAGTCTGCATTTAATGAGTACATACTATGTGCCAGGCCTTGTGTTAGGTGATTTCACATACAATGATTTTATTTACTGGTCTCTAAAACCTTGTAAGCTAGAAATTATTATTCTCATTTTTTTCAGGAAAGAAAAGGTGTTAGTATTCTCTAAGAATTTAATACCATATTTTCATGAAAGCACGTATATATTTATGAGTGAGCATAGAGTAATGATTAAGAGCGTGGAGTTGGATTTTGTGAGAGCTCTCTTTCTAGCATTGCCACTAACTAGGTGGGTGATTGTGGCCAAGCTTCTTAAAATCTCCATGTTTCAGGATCATAATAGTTACTACTTCACAGGGTTGTTGTTGTCTGTGTTAAATGAGTTGATATTGTAAAGCTGTTAGCAATAGTGTACGGAAAAGAAAGAGTACTAGCACATAGAAGGCACAATAGACATTTTTGTTGAACAAATAAAAATAAATGAATTATTTCCAGGTCCCAGCTTTCGACCCTGGGCAAGAACTGCTCTGTTGCAAGACAGCACTGTTGACAAGAGCCTGGAGGTCACAAATGAGCCAATTCCAGCCCATGAAGGCTCTGCTCAAGCATGAATCTCGGGGATCCCAGCCCTTACAAGATAGAGGTGAGGATTATCTTCTGGGCACTATGAATTCTACAGACTTTATCTAATTTCACTTAAGGGCCACCTAAAAGATCCATTCACATTTACCTATCACAGATCAACTTTACTTTGAGACTGAAACTAAAAATGAAATTGCAAACACAATTTTGGAAAGCCTTCCTAACCAAACTAGATAGTAAATAAGATTTTACTAAAATTGGAGTTTGGAAAGAATTTGTTTTTTTAAAGAACATAGTGGTCTCTATTCATTTAACACATATTTATGGAAGTCTCCTATGTGGCAGCCAGTGTCGTTCGCACTGGGGATAGAGCCATCAGTGAGACGGATCCTTACTCTGATGGAGCTTACATTTAGTAGGGAAGACAAATTAATAATACAGTTTTGGATAGTGGCAAGTGCAATAAGGAAATAAGACAGAATCTGTAAAGCCAGCCAGAATATTCCAGAAATCATAGGACTATTGCAGATTAAAGAGTATAAATCTAAACTCTAGGTCTGTTATTAGAACAGCATGAATATCACTCCATAGGAATCTGTTCCAGGGTTTTCCCTCATGTGCTGTAACCGTTTGGGAAGTTTCCCAAGATAAACAAAATTGGGACACTCCAGCCAACATGAAATCTTTACTTCTCAACAGAGATTTTAGCCTAAACCAACTTATTTTCTTCCCCTTGCAAAATTTACTTTTGTAGGGAAACCTGAAGTTCTTTACTTTTCTCTTTCTTGAATCTGAGCAAGTTCTGTGCAAGTGGACTCCCTTTCTGACTCCTTGTCTGACTCCTCTTAGTTTTTCAAAAACCAAAGAAGAAAGCACTCTAACAGCTACTAAAGACATTTTAACCCAAAGTTGTATTTTATGCCCCTATCCTAGCAAAAGATCTTCAAATGGAAAGCTTTTTTTTTTTTTAATGTTGCTTTCATTTCCCCATTCCTCCCAAGGATCCTGCCCGTGGTGTGCCTCTACAGGAGCACACCAGCTTCCTTCAAGCCCTGGGATTGCAGCTGGTAGGGATCAGGCATTTGGAAAGAAACATACTCTGTATAAACATGTTTGGGAGGAATTTATTAACCCAGTTTTTGAACTTGGATTCCACAGGGCAGAGAGGCTGAATGCCAGGGTAGATCTCATCCATAGCTTCTTTCCTTCTTAGTTCTCCAGGTTCCTGGTCTTGCCGAGGGAGGAAGCTGCAGAGAAGACACAGTGGTAGCTGCCAGGCTCATCCCAGAGTCCCAGGTGAGCTGGAGGCCCCCTCTCTCTCCCAGCATTTTTTACTACTGTTGGACTTCTCACGAAAGACCCTCCCTCCCCACTCCTTCTCCACACCAATCTTAGATCCACATGGAATTTGAGGTTTTTCATGGATCCTAAGGTTGTTTGTCACTGTCTTCATTTTGGTGCCCATGTAAGAGGCTTTTCCTGTTTTACTACTAGCTTGGAGGACTGTCTATGCTTCCCAGATCTTCCCTACCCCAGCTGTTTGCTTAGCCCCTTCATCTGTGGGATTTTCTTCTTCAATAAGGCAATTCAGCAAATAGAAACTTAGGGTCTTAATATGATGGTGCTTTTGTTTTGTTTTTTTTAAAGTATCGTAAATTATCCTGTTGTAAATTATCCTGAAGGATCTAAAGACATGGACTTTGACCTCAAGGAGCTCACACTTGAAGGGACACATAAGACCTGTCCTCTTGAGTCTAAAGTTATTTACGATACCAGCTGAGCAATGTTTTCTTACCTGGATTTTCATTTCTTACCCAGTCTTTCATGTTTTGTTTGAATATCTCAGTATTTGAGTTGCTGTAGTATCCATTTTTTTTCCTGAATTTTCTCACTTCAGACCTAGATTTTATTGTGTTTAAAAAATCATCAATATAAATGAGCCTATTCCTACTATGGCAAAAAAGCACAACACAAATCTTTTTGAAAGTTTTGGATCTGGTCCACCTTTTTACTCTGTTGGCCGTTATTTTCCAAATCTTTTCACTTTCTGGACTGTAGTCTAGGTATTTATATGAAAATACTTACCCTAGTCTGTTTAACATTTTCTTCCTTTAATGGTTGTTTTATATATGTGTGTGTGTGTTACTAAAGATAGGGTTAAGTAGGTATGGTTGGGGGGCTTGCTCTTTTTTGGAGAGCCCCTTTAAGTGGGATGTTTACTCTTTGCATGTACTCCTCAAAGCAGTGCCCAGCTTTGGGAGTGACCTTGACAAGAGGAACTACGTGGAATTGCCTCTTGTTTCAGGGTTTGCTGAAAGTGGAAGATGTGGCCTTGACCGTCTCCCCTGGGTGGGCACAGCTGGACTCATCTCAGGTGAATCTCTACAGAGACAAGAGGCAGGAGAACTGTGGCAGCCTCATCTCCCTGGGTAAGACGATGGACACTTATTTCTCTTAAGGTTTCTTGGTTTTCCTTCTGTATTAGAACCTACTGGGCTGTTAGAAGCTTTGGAGCCCCATTATGTTTGGATTAAGAACCACTATTTCTGAATCCCCACTGCTAACCAGCTGTCCGACTAGTTCCTTAACCCTTCTGAGCCTTGCTTTTTTATCTGGCCTGCCAGTTCTCTAGTCAGGTTAAGTGGGATGTAGTAGATGCTACCCCTTAGCACAGGCCTGGCTCATAGTAAAATGCTCAGTAAATGTTGACTTCCTTTCCTTCCCTTCTTAGGGCCTGACCGATGAGGAAAGCTGAAGGGTCTCTTCCGGAAGTGGGCCATGAGATCATAAAGTGTGAGAGCTAGAGGGACCTTAGAGATGAGGATGCAGAGAACAGAGGTTAGGTGACTTGTCTGAGTTCACACAGCTGATTGTTGGTACAGCAGGGGCTCCAGCTCATATCTCCCAGCGCTGAAGCCAGTTCTATTTGGCGGAGTCAGAGATGACTTCTATTTCCGTTGGTCAGTAACCAGTTTGAGTCCCCTCTTTCCCTGTTTCTTACAGAAGGCTTCAGAAACCCTTTCACTTCCCCTGTTTACTGTGGCCTTCTGTTCAGCCCCTTTAGTATCTAATCCCATTCCCATTCTCAGGTCTTTCCTCCCAGCAGTCCTGTTTTTCACCTTTATGCCAATCTTCATTCTTGCACTCAAGTCCTCATACCAGACATATACAGACCACTGTGAGTCTTGCCTCCCTGGTACTCATCACAGAGCTTTCCTTCCATGACAGGGCATAACTGAGAGTCACCAGTCATTTGTTGTTTCAGGTGGTGAAATACAAACTAAGATCAGGGACTTGCCTCCTGAAGATGAACATCTAGTACGAGAGCCTGGGGAGATCCCATGCCACCTGGGTGAAGACGTTGCTCAGATTACTTCATGTGCAGAAGCTGGTGAACAGGAGGGCAGGTTACACAGAAAGCAGAAAAATGCCACAGGAAGTAGGCGGCACTACTGCCATGAATGTGGAAAGAGTTTTGCTCAGAGTTCAGGCCTGAGTAAGCACAGGAGAATCCACACTGGGGAGAAGCCCTATGAATGTGAAGACTGTGGCAAGACCTTCATTGGGAGCTCTGCCCTTGTCATTCATCAGAGAGTCCACACTGGTGAGAAGCCATATGAGTGTGAAGAGTGCGGCAAGGTCTTCAGTCACAGTTCAAACCTTATTAAACACCAGAGAACCCACACTGGGGAGAAACCCTATGAGTGTGATGACTGTGGGAAAACGTTCAGCCAGAGCTGCAGCCTCCTTGAACATCACAAAATCCATACTGGGGAGAAGCCCTATCAGTGCAACATGTGTGGCAAAGCCTTTAGGCGGAATTCACATCTCCTGAGACATCAGAGGATCCACGGTGGGGATAAAAATGTTCAAGATTCTGAACATGGAGAGACCTGGGAAAGTCAGGGTAGAATGGAAAACCAGTGGGAAAATGTTGAGGCTTCCGTGTCTTATAAATGTAATGAGTGTGACAGAAGTTTCACTCGGAATAGAAGCCTTATTGAACATCAAAAAATTCACACTGGTGAGAAACCCTATCAGTGTGATGCATGTGGAAAAGGCTTCACCCGAACTTCATACCTTGTTCAACATCAGAGAAGCCACGTTGGGAAAAGAATTCTATCACAGTGACCCATGTAGTACATGCCAAAGGTGGTACTCATTCCTCATGGGACTGAAGCCACCGTGGAGCACCTCCTAACTATAAAAACTGTTGAGGGGCCTTTGTTTACCACTAAACACCATCAGGTGTATATAGAGTCTGGCTGAGACTAGGTATCGTCCAGATTCTATAAGGTGACCTGAAAAACAACTTGTTTGATAGGACCTTCTGGGAGAGTTGTGAGGAAGAGGTTGGACCTAAAATGGTTTATTCTTACCCATCAAACTTAAATGGGCTTCCAGTCTGGCTACTCGCCCTTAGCCAGCACTTTATCACATCTCCTGGGTGGACTGCTGTGATTATGGGGGCTGCTCCTTAGAACATTCATTTTGCCTGTAATCAGTCTTTGAGTTGGTCAGATTCCTGAGTTCAATCCGCTGTGCCTTGTTCATAGGTGCTAATAAATATTTATTAAGTGTACCAGTGAGATTTCCTTCATAGCTCTGAAAATCTGATGCTTGTTTAGATTTCTGAGAAATTTCTAATCAAAGCCATTTGTGTTTATGTCTAACTCTGAAGGTCTAGATTCTGGGTTAATCTTAGCTGCATTTGTTGCCACGTACAAAGGGTTGGCAGAGTTGGAGTGGGGAGTCCATATTTCTTCATCACCATAGTACTTACAGTAAAAATGCCTTAAATAGCTTCTTCATCATGAGCCCATTGTTAGACAGATCCATCCATGGAACTTTATTCTTCAGTAAACATTAATTATGTTAATTCATATTAATATTGCTACTCTTTTGGAAGGAAGTTTTCACATTCAGACAAAGTAAAAATCAGTTTATCAAGTCAGATTAAAATGATTAAGAATTTTGACAAACTTCTCTAATGCTTGTTGGAGCTGTAATGCTAAACAGCTTTTTTCTCACCACTTATTTACCTTGGGTCTAACCAAGTACCAAGACATCATCCTTGTCCCTCTCCCCTCACCTTATAGCTGACTGTGGATCAAGGCTTATGCCAGCTAAGCTCCAACTTCTCTAGCTCATAAGGATTCACACAAAATATTAATAACAAGTATCATTCATGCTTTCAAAACTTCCCTATGAGTTGGGGATAGAAAGATAGGTTTAGAGGCAGCCGGTGAGGGTAGAACCCTGAGTGTGAGTGGTAGGCGAAATATATCTGTTCAGAGGCACATTGGAAATCTTGAGTATCTGATCAAAGGATTCCATAATATCCAAAGTATAAACATGTGAAGACTCAATGCTGTGAGTTAATCACAGGAAATAATTTCATATCTCCTGTTTCCACCCAAATAATCTTTTACTGCATCTTTCAAAGACTTGTATCTACTTACTAGATACCTGAGTGCATATCACCAGCTGCCAGCATTGCCAGGCTGTGCCATGAATGGCTTCTATTTCTGATGAAATTCCTAATGGTGTTTTGTTCAGCCATTACTGTAGTGTTCTTGCTTATTCTCAAACACCCTGTCTGGATTCCTGCGCTGCATGTGGCACCACAGGCAGATTAGGGACACTTTCTAAACCATAGGGTTCTCTCATTATTAATTCCCTACAAGCTTTCATTGCCTTCATCATCCTCTTAACTTCAAGCTAATTTAAACCTTTTGTGCTTTGAAAAATTCTGTATTTTCTCCACTCAAATCTTTTCTAGCCTTTTTTTCCCTCTTAAATTAACCTTTTGTTATTTCCACAAGAGCTAGCCACTTCTCTTTTCCTTCCCTAGTCTTTATTTTTCTTAAATAGTTGCTAATATCTCTAATTGTAAATGCTCAGACTCATTACAAACTAGTTACCCTGTTCATTTTTCTAACTTGAAATGTATTTGAAAGCCTTTTACAAACCAGGAAGCATTATACACATGTATAAATTACTGAGATTAACAAGGGACCACTGTGTCTCCTGTCATACTTCCACTCCTTCCAAACCAAAAAAATCTCTGCAGAGGGGGGAGATTTTGCAGAAAAATACTTTTGAGTGCCTACTATGCTAGACAATGGAAGGGGCAAAAATCTATATGTATATATATATATGAGAGTGTGTGTGTGTGTGTGTGTGTGTGTGTGTGTACATACATACTCGGGCTTGGTGTTTCAGTATAATAAAATCGATAAGACTTACACCCGACTAAGGCAATGCAATAAAAAATACCTTGCAAGTGGTAAACTGAGGGCTATAGAAGCTCAAAGAAGGGAAAGGTCACTTCCTGCTAAGGAGTGATTATGATTACATGGATTGAATTGTGTCCCCCAAAAATGTGTGTTGTAAATCGTAACCACTAGTGGATGTAGTCCCATTTGGGAAAAGGGTTTTCTTTATTATATTAATGAGACCATATCAGTGTAGGGTGTGTTTTAAATCAATCACCTTCAGGATATAAAAGGGGCAGATTAGGCACAGAGAAGCAAGCAGAGATGGGAGAACATGAATGCCACACGGAGATTGCCAAGGAACCAAGGAACAGAAGCTGAAAAGAGACAAGGACCTCCCCCTAGAGCTGCCACCCTGAATTTGAACTTCCAGTCACCTACACTGTGAGAAAACAAATTTCTGTATGTTAGAGCCACCCACTTATGGTATTTCTGTTACAGCGGCACTAGAGAACTAAGACACATAGACAGGGTGACACGCGATGCTAACAGAGAATTTGTCAAAGTTAGTTAATAAGACAAATTTGAAGATGTAGGTAGATTATAGGGGCCTTCAGTGCCAGAGCAAGTAGTGTAAACTTTATTCAGTAAGCACTGGGGAACCACTGACATTTTTTGATTTAAGTATTACCTAGAAAAATTTATCTAGCAGTGTTATGTAATTGTGTAATTTCAATTTAAAAAAAATCAGTTTGCTGGTAGTCATTTACCCACCCTACTTTTGTATAAAACAAAGTGTGTTTATAAATAAATGAATTTATAAATGAATTATAAAATGGATTTCTTTCTAGTATGTTTAAAAGGATAGGTTAAAAAAACTATTTTCAGATAAAATTAGATTCATTAAGATAAGCTGCTTAGTTAAGATATAAACAGTGGAATAAAATGCTACTTTTCATGCTTTCTTAAATCATTGTTATGAATTTTCATATCAATTAGCCATTCTACTTCATCTCTGCAATTGAAGCAATGCAGAAATTCCTCTTTTTTTTTTTTTTTTTTTCTCCTAGTAACTGCTTATAGCATATTCTTTCTACTTGGGTAGAATGAATGGCTATAATGAAAAGAGTTTTGACCAATAGCCCTCCTAGAATTGTTCTTAATCCTGGCAAAGATTTGTATAATCCTGCAAAAGAGTCTTTCTCTGCCTTTGTTAGCAGAAAAAAAAAAAGTAGGAATGATAGCTTACCTCACAGGGTTGTAAGGATCTGCTTATACAAACACTCTAAAAATGTTGATAATTGGTAGAGAAATGGAGATTAAACACTTTTTAGCAGAAAACTCTATATATTGGAAATAGAATTGTTTAATAATAAAGACTATATTTTAAAAAATTGCTCTGTGACTACGTGACAGTCTTGGTCTTCTTATCTACTGATGTCCCAGATCATCTCCTCAATTATTCATGATGACAATTTTAACCACTAGGTAATGTCAAGCTTTCTACTTTTCTCTAAACACTCGTTTTAGTTCATCTTTTGTTTTTCCTCATGATAGTCAAAATTGAGTCTGGTGGATTCAAATGAGTAAACTTTTTCAGTCAGCTTTGTATAAGTAGTATCTATTTTGTACAGAAATATTTCAGAATGACTGCTTTCCTGCAAACTTTTCGTTAACATATCATTTCCCTTTATTATAGAAATATGCTTTTGTTTTTGCATCTACTCACATTTCTCACTTGGTTTCTGGTGTCAGGAATCACTCCCTATTTACAATATCAATCTAAGACTCTAGAATTGGAACATAAAAAATTTCCTGGTCTCTTCTCACTATTAATGGTTTAATCATTGTGATATATTCTCACCTGCTGTATGTATTTTGTTTATCAGGAGTTGGTTGTCATCCAAATACCTTGGCAAACCTCTCCAAGTCCCTGTTTTTATTCCAATTTTTAAGTTTTGGTGTACCTGTTTTCAGAGTTCTAGAGGGAAAAAAATCTGACCAATCATAATGTAAATTATTTGTATAACAGTAATAAATCATACAGTTATTCCTCTTGACTAAGTGAATTCTTGAACAGATCAAAATGCATTGCATGGAGGTGAAGCCAACATGGTGCTAAAGACAGAAGCACCATGCTGTCCTCTACAGCAAAGACTCAAAAAACTAAGTAAAACAGATATAAACATCAGTCTTGGAACCCTAAGCATCAAATGAAGGGATAAAGAACTAGATAAAGCACCAAATGGAAGAAGAAACTGACAGAATAGAGAAGAGGAGAGCTACAGAGTGGAGGTCCTCTGCCAGCTAAAGTGGCATGGATTCGCCATCTTGGAGCACAGCTACAAACTACCCCAGACATGGAGTATGGGAAAGCAACTTCATGGAGCTCCCAAGAGGAGACAGAGCACCCAGTAACCAGAGATACACACTCTTCCACCCCCCACCCTTCTGCCTTGTAGGCTGCCTCCACTGCTTTCCAATGGCCCATGGTCATTTGGCCAGAAGAGACAGTGGCTCACTGCCACACAGGGTCTGCCCTGCCCCCAACAGCCAGTTCCCTCAGTGCCATATTTTTTTGTTGTTTGTTTGTTTTTGTTGTTGTTGTTGTTTGTTTCTTCTCTCTCTTTTCTTTCCTTCCTTTCCTTTCTCCCACCTACCTAACCCGGTGCACCACCCCTGCCCCTTCTTGACAGGGCATGCTGCATTCCTCAGCTAGAGAGCTACCGGCACACAGCCTCCCTGGGTCTGCTCTGCCCCCACCAGCCAGCTCCCTAAGCGCCATATTTTTTATTTTTCTTTATCTTGTCCTTTCTCCCTTTTTCTTCTCCCTCCCACCTAGGCCCTACACTGTCTCTGCCCCTTCCTGATGGGCCATGCTGTGCTGCCTGGCAAGAGAGACACCAGCTTGCCTCCACCTCTGTTATGCCCCACCGCCAATGGCAGGTTCCCTCAGTGCCCTACTTTTTTTGTTTTTGTTTTGTTTCTTCTTTCTCTCTCCTTTCCTTTCCTTTCTCCCGCTCACCTAGCCCCCGGCAACACTCCTACCCCTTCTCAATGGGCTGTGCCACAGTGTTTGGCTATAGAGTCACAGGAGCACAGCCCTCACAGGTCTGCCCCACCCCCACCTGCTGACTCCTACTGTGCCACCATTTTATTTATTTATTTTTATTATTATTTTCTTCATTTTTGTCCTTCTGTTTGTCTTTCTTCTTTCTCTTTCCCACTTGGCTCTGCACGTCACACCCCCTCCTTTCCCTCCTGCCTCTCTGCACCACTTGTCAAGTGCAAAGCCACAGAGCGGCACCAGTGTGGACCTCTGGACCCCACCCCACATTGCCCCCCTGGCCCTGACCCACTGACTGCCACACCCTCCAGTGGGGCAATGCAGGCCTCCAGACCCCCAGATCCAGCTCCACCGTGCTGCACCCAGTCCTGCCCCACCAGCTCCAGTTGTGAGGCAAATGACTCATCCCTGCCCTTCTCCCCCTGCTGGACCTGCCCTGCTGCACCATAGCTGAGCAACCAGCCCTGCCCACCTGGACAGGGTGGTGAGAACTATCATGCCCACAGACAAGCAAGCAACAAAACATGCCAAGCCTTCCCGCTGAGACATAACCAAATAAAACAAAAAAGCAGGATGAAAAAAACAAACCTACAATCAATAAATGAAGAAAATAATTCCCGAATGTCTCAGAAACAGCAAACAATGTGCAAATATGTTTTAAAAAAACAGGACAGGATGGTTCCAGTAAGTGACTGAAATAAACACCAGATGACCTTTTGGTAGAAGGAAAGGCACTGGAACTACCTGATAGGGAATTAAAAGTCTAATATTCAGTGCTCTGCAAGAGATTACAAAAGAGATGAAGGAAAACACAGATAAAACTGAGGAAAAAACAGACAAAATCATGGAAAACACAAAGCAATGTAAGAATTCAGGAAAATAATACAAGAACAAAATGTCAAAATAAATAAAGTACTAGAAATCATACGAAAACAGCAAGTAGAAATTCAAAAGATAAACAACAAGATTTCAGAAGTGGACAACACAACAGAAGGTTTTAGGAGCATATTGGAAACAATGGAAGACAGGATCCACGAAATTGAAGACAAACCCTTGGATACCACTTTGAGGAAAAATCAGAGAGAGGAATGAAGAAAACCTAAGAACTATGTGGGATACAATCAACAGCAAAAATTGGGGTGTAGTCGGAGTTCCAGAACAGGATGAGAAAATGGAAAACAAAGAGAGGATCATTGAAAATTGGCTGACAGAAAACTTCCCTAATATCATGAAAGATGAAAAGTTTACCATACAAGAAGCTCAATGAACCACATATAGGATAGACCCCAAAAGAAAGTCACCAAGACATATCATAATCACACTTGCCAAAACCAAAGACAAAGAAAGAATACTGAGAGCAGCTCGAGAAGAACAAAAAGTCACATACAAAGGTGAAACAATAAGCTTAAGCTCTGATTACTCTGCAGAAACCATGCAGGCAAGAAGGCAGTGGGATGACATATATAAAACCTTGAAACAAAAAAATTGTCAACCAAGAAATCCTGCAAAACTCTTGCTCAAATATGACGGAAAAATTAGGACATTTCCAGATAAACAGAAACAAAGGGAATATGTAAAAACCAAACCAAACTTATAAAATTATTAAAGAGAATCCTTTGGTTAGAGAACCAGCAACATCAGACAACAACCTGAATCTAGGACACAGGACAGCATCAGCCAGATACCAACCTAGGTAATGAACTCTCAACGATAAAACAAAAAACTAAAAGTTTTACAACAGGGAACCAGAGATGTCAGTATGTAAATGACAACAACGTCAGAACAATGAAAGATGGAATATACAGTGTAAGTATAGAACTTTCAAATGGAAAGGAAGTCAAAGTAATATCAAGTAATAAAAGACTGGTACAAACTTAGGAAGATAGGTGTAAATTTCAAGGTAACCACAAAGAAAGTTAACAAACCTACTCATCAAAATAAAGAAGAAAAACATAAAGTCTCA